TTTACATATACACATACATACACATATACATATACATATACATATACATATACATATACATATACATATACATATACATATACATATACATATACATATACATATATACATACATACGTATATATGTATATATATATATATATACGTATGTATGTATGTATGTATGTATGTATGTATGTATGCATGTATACATGGATGTATGTATGTATGTATGCATGTACGTAATGTACGCATGTATGTACGTATGCATGTATGTATGTATGCATGCATGTATGTATGCATGTATGTATGTATACGTGTCTTTATACCTATACATATATACATATGTATCTATACATAGGTACGTACAGATAGATAGATAGATGGATAGATCGATAGATAGACAGATAGACAGATAGATCGACACATAGATACATAGATAGACAGGTAGTTAGATAGACAGACAGACAGACAGATAGATAGACAGATGGATGGATGGATCGATGGATAAATAGATAGATGGATAGATAGATAGACAGATAGATAGATAAATAGATAGATAGATAGAAAGATGGATAGATCGGTAGATAGATAGATAGATAGATAGATAGATAGATGGGTGGATAGATAGATAGATGGATGGATGGATGGCTAGCTACCTGGCTAGGAAGGTAGGTAGATAGATAGCAAGATAGAGAGCATCAGATTAGATTCGGTTCAGTTAGGTTCGGGTTAGATTAGATTTTGTTTATGTATATGCATACCAACCTACCTACCTACCGACCTACCTACCCACCCACCCACCCACCCACCCACCTACCTACTACGTACCCTTCCTACCCACCTGCATACCTAACTGCCTACATACATATATATGTCAATATGAATCAATGTCGCCAGCGCAAACATGATGGTCCTGACAAGCACCGCCATAATCATCGTCATCACCGTCATCGTGAAGGACTTGTCATCGTAATTCTGTCACTGGTCACTCGAACTACTCGGGCTTGTAACAAGTATACATTCAGAAGAACTCAGAGCCACGCCGCACAACTGCCTCACTGTCAGCAGCCAGGTCCTGAAACCAGGAACATACCGGATTACCGGATCGAGGATGAGAGTGCAATGCGAGCCGCAACCCCTGAAGTCAAGGACAAAGCCATCAAATCCTTACTTGCACCCTCGCCCAAGCATCCCTCAACAGTATACTCCAGATCCTGCACCCTGCGGCTAGAGAGCCACAAAGCTCATCGCAATCTCAAAATCCGACAGCCGTCACCATTTACGAAAGAACAACAGACCTAACACGAAATCTTAAACTTCATGCCGCCCTGAGCCGTTGAATATACACCTGAATCGAAACCCTAAAACCCAAGCAAAGCCCAGCTGGCGACCCCACCCAGGCAGAGATGGCCGGCGCAGCCGTCGCAGCCCAAGCCAGGGACAAAAGCTCTGTAGCCTCCTCCTCTGGGTTTATGGGTTTAGGGTATATGGTTTTGGGGTTTTGGGTTTGGGTTTTTGGGTTTTTGGGTAGGTTTCGAGGTTATGGCTCATTGCTTTGGGGCTCGCTCAGGAAAGGCGGCTGAAAGCCCTCATCCTCCTAGAACCACCATGAGCATGCCTGTAGCCATGAGAATGCTATTCAACAAAACGAGACGAAAAGGACAGAAGAAGAAAGAAGAAGAAGAGTCAGGATGGCAGTCAGAGGCAAAATGTCTGCAGTACCCCAAACCCCTAAACCCCAAAACCCAAAAACGCTAAACCCCAAAACCTGTCAGAAGCAAAATGTCTGCAGTACTCAACCCTAAACCGTAAACCCTAAACCCTAAGCCCTAAACCCTAAACCCTACACCCTAAACCCGAAACCCGGCCTCGGTAATGAGAAGCCAATCCCGAAGCTCCCAGGGAGGCACCGACACGAAGTCCTTGAGATTGCTAAGGCCTCAGCGCAAAGGAGAAGGATTCAAGGCCATGTAGGGGCCTTAATAGACAGACTGGGTTTTGGGGTATAATATACTATAACTTATAATAAGGATCTCCCAAAGTATTATAAGTGTAGGGTTCTGGATCTGTGGTTTTGTTTCGGCCTCCTCGTTTTGCGGCGTAGGCTTTAAGGTTTTGGGGTTGAGGCTTTTGGGCAGAAAGGTCCAGGGTGGAGGTTCACGGATCCCCCACCTTCTTCATACGGTGAAACACTGCGGCAGCGGCATGGGATGTTCACCCAGCCTCCATTTTTTGGGCATCGAAGCCCCAAAACCACCGAAAGATACCCTAAACCCGAACCCCTCAACCCTAACATCCAAAGCACCTGGGCTTCCGGGCGGCGAGCACGCAGCGCTTTCACCAGGATCTCACCACCCTGCCGCAGTTGCTCCCTAAACCTCTACCCCAAACCCTAAACCCTAAACCCTAAACCCATGAACCCTGAACCCTGACCCCTAAACCCTAAACCGGACCCTCACAGCTCTACTCCCCAAGGCTTGAACCGCAGAGTCCCAAACCCCTCGTTCTTCAACTCCCCCTCCCCCTCCCCCCCCACAAACCCTAACCCGCAAACATCGGTGTATTATATAAGATCTATAGAGTATAATATGACCTAGTGTAGTTTATACTTAAAGTATCCTATTATTATTATTATTATATTATTGTTATTAGTATTATTAGTATTATTAGTAGTATTATTATTATTATTAGTATTATTGTTATAGTACATATACTTTCCATCATGTCCCCCAAGCCCTAAGCCCCAAGCAGTCCCCAAAATGGGGCCTGGCAAAGCGCAGCATCCCCGAAGAGCTGTTCGAGAGGCGCATCCGCGGAGAGCTTCCGACGCCCTGGGTTTAGAGCTCAGGGTTTGGTGGCTTAGTGTTTAGGGGTCTAGAGTTTAGGGTTTTGGGGCGTAGGACTTTGGGTTTAGGGGTTTAGGGTTTAGGGGCTTAGGGCTTAAGGGTTTAGGGTTTAGGGGTTCAGGGTTTAGGGTGCAGAGCTTCCGGGACTTCAGGGGTCTCGGATAGCCGGGGAGGGACGCTGTGGCTGGGCGGGCTTTCCAAACGTCGGGCTTGGGGCTTGGGGTTAATTTACATCGGTTGGGGCTGACAGGTCGTCTGCGAAGCCTTGTGGGAGGCCGGAGAGCATCGCGCGTGAAGTCCGACAGGTCCGCGGAGGGCTCGGCCCAAAGTCTGGGGTTCCCTCGACACTGCTACTATGATCGTCGCTTGCTTCTTTCTTCGAGTTCTAGGTAAACATAACAGCTCCTTGTTATTATTGCAGCGGTAAACTCGTCAACTACCCAGCAGTCAGGGTCTCTGTGGGGCAATGGCTCACGGGTTCAATGTGCCGGACGCGCAGGGGTAGAACCCAGGATCTTGTGGCCCCAGCTGGTCTGAGCCAAAGACGGCAGGGACCCATGCTTACCTTCCCCCGGGGACTGTGGGCAGCAACCGACCAAAACTGGCCTACCAATTCTGGCTTACGACGGCTGACACGACAAAAAAAGGCACTTCCCATAGTGTCAAGTGCCTCGCAAGCAGTTGGGGCGTCCTGACGCAAACGCCTGCGCCGCACCCGAGAGCCAACCTCCCAGAGCAACCATTTTCATCCTGGTGCTCTGTGGCGAACTTTGACAGGGCACCGCGATGTCTCCGCGCAGGATCTGTACACTGTACAGGGGACGCTGCGCTCTTGTGCTCCACCTTTGCAGTCAGTCCAGCTTCGCCTCGACGATCAAGCGAAGATGGCTGGACTTGGTAAGGACTGGCTCCCTTAGCCCTGGAATGCCAATGCCCTCTGCGAACGCAGTCACCACGCATGCACGTTTGAACGTGAACTCCAAGCCAGCCAAGGTGTTACCCGCAGATACCAGCCAACTACGGACGAAGAAAGCCTGCTTGGCATTCCTCGGCCGCTTGCGCTCGGCTCACTAGAAGAGCGCAGGCCTTGGACTGAGGCTGTCGGTGAGTGTGCAAACAAGGGCACAGACAAGAGCAAGCCGCTGCCCGGTTTCGAAACATTCGGGCGATACTTTTGCAGTGTTTGTAGCCGTCACCAGCAACTTGCACCTCAGCCCTCCATCCGGATCTGGGCCGGCCACTCATCAATGACGGGAAGCTCAGCACCTGCCGAAGGCCAGGAGGATCAGGCACTTCGGGGGCCCAAAACCCTGTTCTAATTATTGTTCTAATGATTAAGGCCCCTATATTACCCCTCTTTCTAAAGTTCGGGCGAGCCCGTTGGGAGTAAGGTTCTAGGGCTTTAGACTTGCAATGACCTGCCAGCCTCTTCCTTCTCCTCTCCTGTTGCTTACCTGGCTCCTGTGTTCATTCTGTTTGAGCAAGACCGACATCCCTAAGCCCAAAATTCGGAAAAGCGACCTCGGACAAACCCTGACATGGAACATAAACGAAAAGTGCCATCAGCAAGTGAGCAATGGAGTCTCTGGCAGCGCTCCGCCATACTATAGCGGACAGAACCTCCATCGCTTTGGGCTTTAATCCGGAAGTCGACGCTCGGATCTGCCAAAGCAGAGGAGGGCCTTGGCTTTGCGCATTGGAGGCGGATCGGGCACGCCTGGCCAAGGACAGAACGTCCAAGAGAGAAGCAATTCTGACCCGAATTGGGACCATCAGGATCCGTCGAAGGTGCAGAGACAACAGACTTTCGAAAATGCCTTCGTGCTGTATATCTTGGAGTTACAACAAGGATGGACACCTGAACAGCAAAATGGGCTATAAGTAAATCAGGAAGAGCGGCCACACCTCTGATGGACTGCACCCTGGCCTCTCTGCCAGAAGCACTTTCACAGCAGCTCGAGTCTGCTCGCTGTGCTGCGTGGCATTACCTCAAGTAATGGCGCTCGCACAGCTCAGGATACTTTTAATACCTCGGTTCGTCAGCCATCTCTGCCTGGAGCCTTCTACCCTACATCAGACCCATAAACTTCCATACCTCCAAATCCGACCCCAAATCCTAAACTCCAAACCCCAAAACCCCGAACCCTCAACCCTAAACCCTAAACCCTAAACCCCTAAACCCCTAAACCCCTGAACCCCCAAACCCCTAAAAACCCCTCTCCGGACTGGGCACCCCCGCGCACTGCGAAGACCCCGACCTCGCGCAGCAGAGGCATCTCGGGGTCCGCGTAGCAGTGGGACAGCAAGATGGGCCTCGGTATAGGGTTTAGGGTTTAGGGTTTAGGGTTTAGGGTTTAGGGTTTAGGGTTTAGGGTTTAGGGTTTAGGGTTTAGGGTTTAGGGTTTAGGGTTTAGGGTTTAGTAATTTCGTGGCCTTAATCATGAGGATAGGGCGGCCTGGGCTCCTTCATAATATAGCTATAATCAGGAACCCTAGGAATAATATTGGCAATTATTCGGGTTAGGGCTGTGGGGGAGATGAGATTATCTATGATTTTAGTAGGGACGGTCATGGAAGATGGTGACTGCTTATGGACATCATGGACGTGGCTCTGGCTACCATGTGCTCTAAACAATCCTGTTCAGACTACCAGCGACACTGCCAATACTGATGATGGTGCTGATGATTACGGCCGTGGCGTTCATTACCGTGACCTTGGTAATCGTGATGTGCATGACAATACTGATGACGGTGGTCGAAAGTTCCGGGTCGAAACAGCGACAGCCTTGCCTTCTGGCAATTCGGGTAGTATCTCGCACTCCAAAGCCATCGTACAAATAACAAGCTTCTCAGTCAGCTGCAGCAGCAGCGGCAACAGCAGCAGGACAGCAGCACCAAATCAGCAGGAAAGCAGCATGCAGGAGGAGCAGGATGGCAGAAGGACATCACCAGTAGCAGCAGCAGCGGCAAGGAACAATGCCGTTAATAGCCTTTCCCGATAAATGATGAGCATGACCACGGTGAAGAGAAGCTGCTGCTGCTTAGCGGTCATCATCACCATCATCCTCACCCGAGACAACTCCGAGCCGCTGGCAGACCTCCTGACAACCGCAGAAACTCGGCTGCCTGGCGGATTGAGCGCAAACTGGCAAGTTCGGGATTGGGCTCCCCTTTCATGCACTCTGGTATAGGAAGTATAGGAAGTATAGTATAGTGTACTCTAGTATAATATGGTATGCTACAATATGGTATAGCATAATGTAATGTTGTACAGTATAGTATCGCATCTGAAAACATGCACTCGAAATTTCCGGTGCTCGTAATGCTGAGACACTCCCACTTGTGACAGGAGAACAGAGTCGTCCAGAATCCAGCCTCCGGACTTTCGTAGAGCACGTTGCCACAAAGCCTGCCACCAGCCAGGAATGCGAGGGAGAGATGAAGGAAGAGTTCATGCAACGTTTTCTTCTGCCAACCTCAGCTGCGCCACGAGCTGGCAGGCCGTGGCCGCTTTCACCGCCTGGGATCAAAGATACTTCAGTGCCCTCTCAAGAAGACTTCGAAGTCGCATCGCAGCAGTGTCTTCTTGGCCGCCGGCGGCCTCAGGATGGGACGAGGTGGGCTCCTCAAGGGTTTTAGGGTTTAGGGTTTAGAATTTAGGGTTTAGGGTTCCCCGCAGAGACGGCAAAAGCAACAAGTCGGGTCCGTAACCAGTGCCCCTTGAGATCTGCGGAGCCCAGGTTGGCGATGTCCGTCTGATCGAACCCATTATTATAGTATATTATGGATTACTATCGTATATTATAGATGATTATAGTATATTATAGATTATTATAGTATATTACAGTATATTACAGTATATCATAGTATACAGAGGCGGCCCTTGCAACGAAAGCCGACGAGCATCCCGACACGCCGTGCTCCTGGCGCGAGGGCAGCTCCGCCCCCACTTCCGCCACAGCCTCGGAATCTCTACACCATAGTATAATACACTGTAATATACTATCACGTACTATAAAATACTAAAATGTACTGTAATATACTATAATAAACTATGATATACAATAATATACTATAATAAAGTACAATAGAATATACGGTACGATAATGCAAGATAGCACACTCTCCACTTCAGTAGACTGCCATGTTCGGGCCATAGCACACCGAAAGATCGAATCACAAGACTCTCTGTCTGCCGGAGCAATATACTATCCACATACTAATATATACTAAAGGATACTCTAATATACTATAATAGTCTATAATATACAATCATACACTCGTGCAGCAAAACGTGCAACGAGTCCAATCCACTACCTTCGTATCCACGAAGGACAAGGGCTGGCCGGTGTGGCTCCATCGTATGCGACATGTCAGGATGATGGCGGGCTAAGGGCACCAGTGCGGCAGACCTGAACCCCCTGAAACACGAAGCCAATCCTGGAAAGAACTCGACGTTTGACTTGACTACCACAGAATGCTGGGGCGCACACCGCAGTCCCAAATCCTCAGCTCAGTGCTACAGGCTACACTGCTTGTCTTCAGGATGGTCAGGGATTTCGGGTAGCTTTGGAAAAACACCGGAAAGCTAGCACAGTGCAGGGTCATAGTAAACATACATTATGTACAATATGGACAATACAGGCAGACAATATACGTCATAATGGTGGTAGCAATGATGCGGAAGCTTCGAAGTCTTTCACCCTAGAGCGACACGACATTCAGAATGAAGCACACTGCACGCGCTCAGTTGATTTTGGGACCCCACCAACGCAATTTACCTAGGCCGGCCGAACTTTTGTTTGTGCAGCCAAGCACTCGTTGAGCAGACAATGCTCAAAAGACTTCGGGCAGAGCCTCAACCTGTGTAAGCGCTCCGCTAACTAAACAAAGTACACAACTTGAAATCAAGTTGTAGTGTTGTGATGTGTTGCGAATACCCCGAACAATCTCGAGGCACCCGCGTAAGTGGTGCAGCGCTTTCAGCAGCTGAACGTTGGCTGACAGGTAAAGTCCTGCGGAACTCCGCGATGCTGAGCATAGGTCGGGTCTGTCACTTTGCACTTGACGACTTAGGATTCGCAGCAATCCTAGAGAAAGTGGCCCAGGGACAAGTTGGCCAGGTCTGATTGGCACACGAGCCCATTTTACTAAACCCCCAACCGAAGCCCTAGGCTCAAAACCCTACTGCCAACTCCAATCCCCAAACTAGGGCCTAAATCCTGAACAACTCCCTACCCGGAACTCTGCCCCAAACCCGAAAAAACCCTAAACCTCTAAACCCCCAAAGCCCCAAAACCCCAAACGCCAAAAGCCGTGAAGCCCTGTGCCTGCCAACTTCTGTGGGAAGGGTGATCCACATGGGATGCCAGCCAGCTCCTTTAAGGAAGCTTAAGGGGCCCTAAACCCCCTTTTTTTAGGGATTGGGGCTTAGGGTTTCAGGGTTTGCGGTTTAGGGTTGAGGGTTCAGGGTTTGGGGTTTATAGCTGAAAATGATGTTGAACGAGTGGCAATTACAATGCGGTGGGAGACGGCAGAAGCAGAGATATCAGCAACCCAACAATACAAACCACAACTCAAGACTCGAAAACAAACGAACATCAGATTATATACTCAGACGGGCCTTCCCCCTTAAACCCTTTGTTCTAGCAGTGAGACATGCGAAACCACTGACCTATTTGCAAGAGGCCACGCAACTAATGCGATGACGACAACAGAAGTTCAACTTGTCCGCTTCAAGCCATACTTAGAGCATGATCACATTAGTTTTAGTATAGCATGGCTGCCAATCATTAGATATGGCTTGTAAGTGTCACGAACAATATTGAGAGGTGGTGGGCGTCGTCGGGGTGGCAGCACAGTCTGGAGCAGCGCAGTAATGGCCTATGCTTACGCCCTAGAGCATCGCATGATTGCTTTAGGGCTATAACGCTTCTGGAGACTTCGCTGGGCAGCCGCGCCACGGCGGCCAAAAGCAGCTCCCGAAAGGCTCCCTCCTCGCCTGCCTGGACAGGAGACGCGGTCTCAGATGGTTCGCTGGCTCAGAGGATACATAGATACATACCTACAGCCATCCATGCATGCATACCACCGCCACCACAACTACCATCATCATCATCATCATCATCAGCATCAGCAGCATCACGCCTTCACACAAGATGTAACAATGATAACGAGCGGAATGACGCACATACACAGCAATCACCAGCAAAGTATGATACAGTATGACTCAGAGTCGTCTGACTCACAATCCCATACCAAACACACAACAATGGTGACGAGAGCGATCGCCGTTGACCAAGCTCAGCCATCTTACAACTAGTACTTCCCAGCTCCACTTGGAGCTTTAGGTTCTCCAAGGCTCAAAAGCCCTGGATGGGCCTCCTTGATGCAGGGAACCTCCTCCGGTTGGAGTCGATGGGCTGCCAGCCTGAGCAAAAGCAAGATCACAGGATTCAGGATCTTGAGCCTAGGGAATACAATTTCAGGGCTTGCAGCTTCAGGGTTCAGTGCTTACGGACTAGTCCGAAACCTAAAACCCTAAACCCTAAACCCTAAACCCAAAACCCAAAACCCTAAACCCTAAAGAAAGGCTTGGGGGCTTGGGCTTGGGACGTCGGAGCGACGGAGCCTGGGGCACGGACGCTGCGAGATCGAGGTCCTCTGGCTGCAGACCCAGAACTTGGCAGGCGTCTTCAGAAGGTGGGCTGTAGTCCAGCCTCGAAGCTCTGGCTTTCAACTGGTGCATGCTTTCCAGCTACATCCTAAAGCCATCAATCCATGAAGCCTCAAGCCTAAAAAGCCTGAAATCCTTAAAGTTAAAGTACCCCAAAAGCTGTAGTAATTTTAATCATCTTGGGTTCGCGGCTCCAGTCTCCACCGGGCTGCCAGGTCCAGGATCGCGGAGGCCATTTCTTCCGCGGCCAATTCCTGCTCACTCGCGTTTTTTTTTGTTTTAATCACCTCTTTTCCTTCGGGTTGAACTAGCGTTTAGGGTTAGGGCTTTAGTGGTTTAGGTGCTTTTATGAGGAATAGGGCTCGGGCTGTGAGGAATGACGCGTCCTTCGGTGCATAGGAAACTGCTATAAACTCAAAGCATGATCTCGGTAATGGTGGAGACGGTGAGTACTGTCACGGCAGTGAAGGAGAAAGAGAAGATCATGATGCTGTGATGCTTCTGATGCTGACAGTGCTGATGATGACGATGCTAATGCTGACGACGATGATGATGGTGATGGTGATGATGATAATGATGATGATGATGATGACGATGATGATGATGACGATGATGATGACGATGATGATGATGGGGATGATGATGATGGTGATGATGATGATGATGAAAATAATAATAATAATAATAATAATAATAATAATAAATAATAATAATAATAATAATAATAAACAATAATAAACAATAATAATAATGAACAATAATCATAATTAATAATAATATTTATTAATAATAAGAATAACAATAATAATAATGGTGATGATGATGATGCTGATGGGGATGATGACGATGCTGCTGGTAGCAACGATGATGATGGTGAGGGCGGTGGTGATGATGATGATGATGATGATAATGGTGGTGACGAGGATGATGATGGTGGTGATGATGATGATGGTGATGTTGATGATGATGCTGATGATGATGTTGCCGATGGGGTGATGACGATGATGAATCATAGCGATGGCGGCGACGGTGATGAGAAGGAAGAGGCAAAGGAGAGGCGGCGACGACTTTGATGCTCGTGCTGATAGAGGGATCACTGCGAACTGCGATGGTGCCAGAAAGTTGGCCGCTCATCATCATGGTTCCCACATTTACGCTCGTCGTCGTCACTTGTCGTCATCGTTGTCAACCTCCTCCTCCTCCTCCTCTCCTCCTCCGCCTCCGCAGCCTCGTTTCTCTTCAGATTTGTCCGATTTTGACATTGCTCTGGAGTTAAGCTTCAGGGTGCCGGCGTTTTCTTGAAGGGTAGGGCCATATGCATCGCACAATTGAAAGGCAGGGCTTAGGCACGGTGGCGAATGCCAAGGATTTAGGGCTGAGCTTCAGGTGGCAGATTATTGGCAAAAACAGCCGGTCCACAAAGCTGGGATCGTTCAGCAGCTGCTGCGCTAGGCCTGCAAGAGCATGAACTTCATTCCATTTAGGTACTGCAGTGGCTTCACCCACAACTGGCAGCCGAGTGCCGAACGCAGAGCAGAAGAGGAAGAGCCACCGCCTTTTGCAGCCGCTCTCACTGTAAATCCATTCCACTCATTTCCGCTCAACCGCTTGACCGAACTCCGGAGCAAAATCCAGTATCCCTGAATAAGGTTGAATACAGGAAGTCTCTTGAAGTCGCTATGAATATGTATCACTCAGCAAGTAAGACACCGTTGAAGGGTGTTTTCTTCCGAAGGCAGTCGCTCGAATCCACGACTGCTGCGAGCCGAAGGGCCTTTGTCAATGGCTTCCGCCTCGCTGTCCAATCCTCCTAAGAGGCCACGAACCTGAGATGCTCGTGTGAACGAAGACGAACTGAAAGACTCTAGCAGACGGACAGGTTCGATCCTCGAATACTTCGATGGATAAACAACCGCTTGCGATGTAAAGCTGCACCTAAGAGGTTTTAATTGTTGAGTATTGTCAAACCGTGTTTATCAGTTTTTGAGAAATTGAGCATAGATATATGCGTGACACACACACACACATGCGTATAGCAGGCTATGTCGTATCATAAACACATTGGAAGGTTCTGCCAGTCGAGGCGAGGGCCGTGTGCCACAACAGGCCAGGCGCCTGGGACGGCAAATGGCATCTAATATATTACATTGGATGCAGAACATAGGGCTTTTGCTACATTTACCCCAGAAGCTCGAGGAAGCTTGCGGTGACGATTGAAACGGGTCAGGGGCCACTGAGCGCACAGATTCTAAAAACGACTCCGGACGCAATCCTGAGGCGAAGGCCTCTTTGTGCCCACCTGCGACAGCGGCGGCAGGAACGAAACCGGCCCTGTTCTGCTACAGCTGGGATAATGTATCGCTTGCTTAGGTTTAGAGCTGGGGTGAAGCCTACGCCATACATTTTTGGCACAAACTGAACTACCACATCCCTGAGCCTAACCCACATCAAAAACACCTTAAACTTACTATCTTATTCATTCTGAGAAGCAAGTGGACTACAAGGTCCAGGACTGCTGATGATGATGATGATGGTGATACTGGTTCGCAACGCTCCATGGTGACTCAAGCTGACCTCTATGGCCAGGATGGTGATGATGCTGATATTTCTGACAACTGGGACGACCAGGATGGTGGTGACAAGGACGGTGTTGACGATGGTAGGCGTGAAGAACAGGCTGGTGATGATCTCCGATGATCCAACACCTCCTCCTGCTCCTGCTCCTGCTGCTGCTGCGCCGCTGCTCACACTTCCATCATATTTCATCTTCACATACTGCTTGTAACAGTTCAGGTGTGTACAAAACTGTTCTTCCGCCGAGTCACAGAGTCTGGAGGTGATGAGCCCAAAGGTTGTCGCAGCTGCTTCCTGCGACCTTCCGGGAGAAGAGCCCTAAACCCTACACCAAAATTGAACAGCTTGTTTGAAATCTATCTTCAGCCCTCGAACCCCTATTGACACCCATAGGTTAAGAGGTCCAGTTCAGGTCTAGGGTTCCGAATTTTGCGAGTTCAATGCTTTGGCGAAGGAGTCCACGCATGGGCTTCGGAGATCACTGGTACGATTGGAGGCGTTCTAGAGTCTTGGAGCCATGACCAGATCTTCTATCGTTCTTGAACTTGCTGATCCAACACATGTTGCTGCAAGTTGCAAACATCTGCAAATCTCACTCTATCCAGGTTGATTTCTTTTTCAAATCTGAGCACAAATTTGAGAAAAAGACACGCGACAGACTTCAGCGCATCGTCTCACGCTCGATTGTAAAACGGACTGACACGGTAGTACCATATGGCGGTGCGGCCTGAAACACTTTGTTCCAAAGCAAGAATCTAAAGGCCGGCAGCACCCCGCAGTCAGCTGGGTGCCCAAACCCGGGAGCTTCGCCGTCTTTCTGCGGGCACAAAGCACCCCAGCCGGGCACGGCAGCGACGGCCTTGAAGGCTCCAAAGATGGGGACTTACAGTAGTGTAATTGCACTGGGGGTCGTACTAGTTTGGGATCTTTCGGCGGAAACTTCCTGTGTGGATGAAAGGTTTCATGCGCTAGATCATGGTGATGAGAAGTGGTGAAATATTGACTGGATGGTCTTGCAATCAATAGCCTCAGTGCTGGTGTTTGTTGCGGTAGCAGTGGCAGCAGTCGTATCATTAGCAGTAGTCGTCGTCCGTGCCCGGCGAGCTGCAGGCTTACAGTTTACTCTTTCATGTTACTTCACACAATGTGTCTCTCTATAGTTGTTGAGTTGTCAGCTGTGCGCATCTCTTCGGCAAGAACTTCCGAGCTCCAAGCCGTCAGGAAGCTGTGCAGGCGCGCTACCGGCACGCTGGCTACGGCACGGAAAATCTCGGCCTCGAGAGAAGCACCCAGCCACGCCGAAGAATTAGACCAGTCACGTCCCTGTTAACAATCTCCTGTCTGGTGCTTAGTAGGGAATGCGGGAATGGGTTATAGGGACTACCATAAGGGACCTTAAGGGACTATCATAGGGATCCATTCCCCCATTCCCTACTAGGCACCAGACAGTCACCAGACCGGGGATGTTTACGTAGTTTCACTGATATGGGTGTTCCGAAAATAGGGGACCCTAATATAGTAGGATCCTTGTTATAAGGACCCCAAAATAAGGTACCCTAATTTTCGGAAGCTCCCATACAATGGGTGATATCCACACGTGCAGCCTGGGGCGTCGGCGAAAAGGCCTGACGAGAGCTGGCAGCTATGCACCCACATGATCCGAATAGGGCTTCGGGAATATCATAGTTTTGTTATAGAGGGACTATCAGGAGATCTTTCTATTACCTTTTCCAACCTGCTGTTACTTGCTCCGCCATCTACCTTCATCTCGTTCTGCCTCAAGCTCAATTCTTCAGGTTCTCAACTGAAAGGAACCCTAAACCCTAAACCCTAAACCCCAGCTACGCATCCGGACGACCACACCTTTGCTGCCTTTGCTCCTAGCAGCTGGGAGAAGGAGAAGGCTTCCCCTGCTGTGTGTGTATGTGGGTAGTTTTCTAAGTTAGGGTCCCTTTTTTTGTCCTTTGTGTAAGGGTGCCGTACTACATTGGGGACCCCAAAAAGGGACCCTAATTTAGAGAACTACCCATGTGAATCATAGCTTCTGCTTCGTCCGCAGCAAAAAAGGAAAGGTACCGCGCACCCGCAGCAAAACAGGCACCCACTAAAAACACGGGTAAAGGCTGTGGCGGGTTCTTTGTTGCTAGGAGTTTACACCGATTCCGACTCATGACAACACGAAGAAGAACACTGGCTTTCAAACGAGATGAGACTCGACGGTTCAAGGTTCGGGATTCAAGCTTTGCAGAGTCACAGCTCGCAATTGATCATACTGCTCCGGGACGTAGTAATGAGTGTTTCGTTTGGATCGACGGGTCCTGGTGCTACGATTGCCGTCCCGCCTGAAGTCCAGAGGCTGGAGAAGAAGATGGCTGCCCAGTCGCGGGCCTGCGGGCTCCAAGTTCAAGCTTTGGGCTTGGGGCTCGGTCTTTGGCGTCAAGCTCTCAGTTCAATCGAAGCCAAGTCTTCGAAACTCTGCTCGGGGAGTCCACAAATACCTCCTGCTTGTGAGCTCGGCAATGCCAAGCCTTGGCGGCCACAGCCGTGCTAAGGTCATCGGCGTCCACCTCGGAAGAACATGGACAGATTGGTTGATGGATACTGGTCTTCATGCTCTGCTGCAACTGACAAAGTTGCAAAAGCTGGTAACCTAGTAAACGGCATGTTGACATCAACCTAAGCACAAGTAGATTGTAGTACCCCACCGCTCCCAGTATGTAGAACCATGCCACAAAGACGTCTGGCTTGGAATTGATTTGGGATGTAGGCCTCAGGCAGGAGATCCTCTCACCCCAAGAGAGAAAAGGTGAAGGCAGAGGGATTCGCATGCAGAAAATAATGTGTGTAAGCCTTGCGGATTGGTCGTTCTTAGGATTTTGGTCCCTTCTGCATTGAAGGTTCGTTCATCCCACCACACCAAACCACGGTAAGGGCACACTTGCACTCATATAGTCTTCACAACACACCTGCAGAATCTACCAGTACGAGCGGAAGAGGGCTGAGGTGCGGCTTTTCCCAGAGCGTAGCTAGACTCCTTCCTGATTTCTTCCAGGACCAGGTTTCCCACCAGGTTTACAGTGAGAAGCCAGTCAGATGAAGCAGAGTTTAAGTCCATGCAGTCGAATTCTCTTTGGAGTTGTAGACTCGCCACCGGGCACGTCAAGCCGCAGCAGTGAAGCTAAAGAAAGAATTTCGACAAAGAGGGCACTTGCTCCGACTTTGGGACTCACTTGACAAGATCTGATCGATGCACTCGCTGTGATAGATGTGACTGCATTGCAGAACTGTCTGCGCCCTACCCTCCGAATCCAAAGCCTCCAGGCAAATAGCACAGGAATCTTTGCTGTATTCCCCTTTCAGAGCAGCACGGTATTGCCGTGCCTTGTCTGGCAGTTGTAGGACATTCTCGCAAAGGTTTGCCAGGTTCGTAAGGATATTTACTTCCACACGACGGTCGCCGATTCTTCGGGTGAGCACCAAGGCATTTTCGTACTCTTTCTTTGCTTCTTGGTACTTTCCATCGGCACAGAGTGCTGACGCGAAGTTGGCGATCAAAGTCACAATGGCGTGGGGGTTTGAACCTTCCTGCTGGAGCTTGATCGCTTTCTTGAAGTGGTCCAAGGACTCCGGCCGGCGTCCCTCCATCTGGCCCAGGCACATGCCCAGGTTTCCTTCGGCAATGCCCTGCTCATGGACCGTCAGCACGCGCTGTGCCAGCATCAGGGACTGCTGATAAAGATGCTCGGCCATGTCAAGGTCTCCGGCTTTGATTGCATGCGAGCCCATGCCTGTCAACACGTTGAAAGACCTTGACTCCAAGTGCACACTGAAGTTGCTCGGACTATTATTGCTGAATCTTGCCATTATCATGCCCCACGTGTTTCCTAATACCACGCGTGCTGTTACTCACTGCCCAAGTAAGCAGCTCTACAACGTCAATTTTTATCGTCTAAACGATGCCTCGAAGCCGAAACGACGACCACAGCCAGCCACCCACCACGGCACTCCTCCTCCTCCGCCTCCTCCTCCTCCTACAACTCCAATCCCAACTCCCACTCTCGCTCCCACTCCCACTCACTGCTGCTGCTGCTGACTATGACTGCTACTACTACTACTACTACTACTACTACTACTGCTGCTACTACTACTACTACTACTACGATGACGACGACGACTACTACGACTGCGCCTTTTGATGCCAGGGCACAGCTCCATATCATCGTGTTGGTGTGCCTTCCGCATGGCCTGCTGATATGCCGCATCAATTTCCTCGAAATCGCAGAGCCAACTGCAAACATGATGCAGGCTGTTACCATGTTCTACGGTGCTCATGGTGACGGTGGTCGGTGGTGGTGATGGTGGTGGTGGTGATGGTGGTGGGTGGTGATGACGGCAATGACGATGATGATAATGGTGGTGACGAGGATGATGATGGTGGTGATGATGATGATGGTGGTGATGATGATGATGATGATAGAAATAATGACGATGATGATGCTGCTGCTGATGCTGATG